GTGGTGGGTAGATAGCCGAATGGTTAGCGCAAAATCCGATATCGTAAGCCACTAGAGAAATGTTAACTCCGATAACGTAAGCCACTCATAAATCAAGTGAGAGAGAGAGAGAGAGAGAGGGCGAGAGAGAGGGGGGGGTCATTTCGGGACTAACATATGGTTCAGTTTTATTTCAATAATTCGCTTGTGCTTAGGGTTTTTTAACAGTGGGAGGAGGTGAGACCCGGAGAAAACCCTCAAAGTTGGACAGGCTACCCTACTGCTTGTCACCACGACAGTTGACTCAATGACAGATCTTATGATGCAGCGCACACACGTTAACCATTCGGCCATCCAACCCCCGCTTAAATCAATCTTCAGGATTGTAATTTTATGAAAACATTTTGGATTAATGTTTGTTTCTTTGATTAAACTGGAAGTCAACAAACAGGTAAGTTTATAAAACATAGTTTCAGATAATCCAGATAGAATCTCTGAAGGTCAGTGTTTCAGATGTTTTTCTCATTCTGAAGACCGGTTGTACGCGACAAGGATTAGGGTCGCCTGTCCAACCTCGTGGGTTTTCTCCGTGTCCTCCTCCCACTGCTAAAGACCCCTGTCCCCTACGCGCAAGAAAATTATTGAAATAAAATTGAACTATATGTTAGTCCCGAAATGACCTAATTTGTGTCGAGTGGACGTTAAACCCCATATCTCTCTATTACAAATATATACATGCATCTATAATAGCCTCAATCTTAATATCGTTTAAATCAGCAAAGTGTGAAGTGCTCACAGTAGGAGAATGGGAGGGAACTCGCCCTTAAAAAGAAATTAATATAGAGTTGTCTCCCATTAATACCGCTGTATCAAGGGTTAGCTGTACGAAGCGAAAACACGCGGCTGGCAGTTTTAATGTTTTGACGTTTGCGTCCAGGGGTTTTGTTTGTCATTTTTTATACGTCCACATTCATAATGTGAACGTATTATGCCGTCGCCCCTGTCTGTGTGTGTGTGTGTGTGTATGTATGTATGTGTGTGTGTGTGTGTGTGTGTGTGTGTGTCTGTGGTTCGCCTACAGGGCGCAATTCTTCATGGATTTTCTTCAAACTTGGTATACTTATTCCTTATACCCCAAGGAAGATCCCTATTGTTTTTGGTGCATGCCCGACCCCCCGGGGCAGAGCCACGCCCATTTCTAGTATTTGTTTGTTTGTCGTCTACAGGCCACATTTCTTAACTAATAATCTTGAAACTTTGCATACACATTCTTTGTACCCTAAGGAACATCCCTATCGTTTGGGGTGCATGCCCAACCCCCAGGGGCAGAGCCACGCCCATTTTCTTTTCGTGTGTCTTTGTGTCGCCTACAGGGCGCAATTCTTACTGGATTTTCTTCAAACTTGGTATACTTATTCCTTATACCCCAAGGAAGATCCCTATTGTTTTTGGTGCATGCCCGACCCCCAGGGGCAGAGCCACGCCCATTTCTAGTATTTGTTTGTTTGTCGTCTACAGGCCACATTTCTTAACTTATAATCTTGCATACACATTCTTTGTACCCTAAGGAACATCCCTATCGTTTGGGGTACATGCCCAACCCCCAGGGGCAGAGCCACGCCCATTTCCCATTTTCTTTCAATCAAAGCAGAATTGGAATGTGGACGTATATTGTAGCGTTAGCGTTATGTTTAAATTGTCAAATTGAGTTTAATGTGCCGTCATCATGTTAGACCATTTTGGGCTGAGTCAAGGCTGGTTGTTAAGTATAAGGTGGCCTACTCTAACTGCGCTAGTTAAGCTAATTGAAAACCACTAGAAAGGAGTCGTCATACTTTTAGATTGACAGGGCGCCCATGAGTTCGATCCTGATGTTGGCCACGAAAGTCCTCGGGATTTGCCAGTCTGGTTCCCCCCTGTTAGTGATCGAGGAGACGGAGGTCCTGGCAAGAAGCAGCGTCTTGTCCTTCGGGTGGGACAAAAAGCTTTCTTCCTGTGTACACGTGATGTACTGAAAAAAAACTTGTGTTGAAACAACACAAACTTGTGTTGTTTTCAACACAAGTTAGGTGTCTCTATTTAACAACACAAACTTGTGTTAAATGTTGAAACAACACAAGACTTGTGTTAAAATTTACCAAACAACACAAACTTGTGTGAAAATCTACACAATACCTGTGTTGAAACTTGTGTTGAAATTTCTGAAACTTGTGTTGAAATTTCTGAAACTTGTTGAAATTTCTGAAACTTGTGTTGAAATTTCTGAAACTTGTGTGGTTTCATAAAAACTTGTGTATAACCACCAACAAAAACTTGTTTTATTTTCCTTCAATTTAGCAATCTTTCCATGCAGCCCCACCCCTTTTGCTCTGTTTAACCTGTAAAGTTTGATAAATGAGGTAACAATAATTTTATTTAAATTATCATTTATTCATAAAATGATAGGAAAAAGTAAATTAACACCACCAAATGAAAACTAAATAGACATCATTTGAAATGTTAACAGAAAAACAGAGATATAATTCTAATACTAATAAAAATTTTGTTATACTTTGCCCCCCCCCCCCCACATCACAAAATAAAAATTAGCTATTTAATTTTTTCTTTACCCGAAAACAAGAACTGAGAAAAGAAAGATCCCTACCCCATACCCCAAAAATATATAATTCAAATATATCTAAATTTAATAACATCCAAACCAAGCCCTAATTAGATTAATTATGCAATAAATTGAAATACTTTCAGAAACTGAAAAGTGCTACAAAGTCATATTACAAGTGATTTGTGAGGCATCTAGAAATAACTAGCATACACAGAAAACTAACAAAAGAAAAATGCACTATTTTGCAGGAGTAATAAAATGATGTAGAACCTTTTCCTCATTAAAAAAAACAACAAACTAAATGAATATTTTGTACATAAAAGGAGCAAAGCATCAAGATTACAGGATTGAAAAATAAAAAAATATCAGAAAAAATCGCAAACATTAAATAATATGTACAAAATATATATAAATAATCACAAGTCAAAAGCAAGGAGGAGTCACTGTGGTTCAGTGAGTATAAGGCATTGGCCGAGAAATTTCAACTGGATTTTCCGACATAGTTCCCACACGTCAGTAGTGTAGGACATGGCAAGGGATAATTGGGTATAAGCCCGGAATTGAAACTACCCCCACTGCGTTTACTTTAAAGAACCCTTGACAATTGAATTATCTGACTCAATGACAGACCTTCTGATCCAATGTGCGTGTGTTAACCATTCGGCCCTCCTGGGTTCCCTTTAAACAACCCTTGACAGTTGAAATATTTGATATAAGAGTAGGTTGTAGGGCATAATCACCATAATAACACAGAAAAGTAGGATCTTAAACCCTATTTCATTTCATAAGCAACGGAAAGTCACCTTAATGTAGGTCAAGGTTTTTTGTAATTCTGGGTATATTTGATCTACATTTGGTTTCTAGATTATGCCTATTAAATACCTTATGATTTCCGACCAAATTCTAAGTGATTAATATGTCACTTTACATTCTATATTATACATAAATTTCTGTAGAGAATTAAAATCTAATTGTGTTTGGGAAGAATATTTAACAGTAAAAACAAAAAATAAATATTCAAAAATTGGGTCAAATGCATTCTTTTCCAGAATTATAAAATAAATTGATGCTTGGGATCTCTTGTTGTTATCATACATCAAATAATCTTCCAGCCTAAAAAATAAAAAGCAGGCAATAAGAATACTTTCTTACTATTTATGGTTCACAATGTTTAAATAAACAATTTATTTTGCCACATTTTGTTTCATCTTTGGGTAACACTTATTGTGTCTTGTCCAGTAACAGATCCAGGCAGATTATTATATTTTATTTCCATCGACAACAAATTGGATATTACCTATTAAAATCTATTTGAAAAGTAAAATATTGTCCATCATTTTTATACTGCTATTTACTGTAAAAATACACATAGGGTCTATCACAACTTGAAGAAAATCAATGGATGTGATTGTCAAAATTCAAGAATGCCAAGACTTGAATAGGAGAGTCCTAGGCATTGCCCCAAGAAGAATAACTAGATTACCAATCAAGTGTATAGAACTAGTTGATGATTAAAAATACAAATATGTATGTTACTTACATTTTACTTGATTATCAAGCTCTGTGAGAAAAAGTTTCCATAATATGAATAGCCATTTCCAACTGTCTTGATCTTTCTGATGTAGTTAACTGAGAAAAAAAACATACTATGTATTAGTTGACTTAAATCGACTTGACAGTTAAAAGATGAAAGTTTTAATTTAATTACATTGTATTGTAATGTGTTGGTTTGCTTTGTCACAGATGAGACAAAATGAAAAAAATGAAATGAAATGGGGTTCGGCGTCCTACTGTTCAGCTCCGACTGGGCTAATGAGGTTGGGCATATGCCATACAGTGTGCTATGAGAGAAATTTTGCCGGGTACCATGACCCTAAGGCCTACTCTTGTATCAAATTCTAACCTGCCAGGGGCTCTTTTACATGCACGCCAATGTGTACATGGGACCACGTTTTTTTGTTCAATCTGAACGACTAGACAGCTGTCCTTGTAAGGCCCTCCGTACTGCATTGTCTTACTGCAAACCCGCGACCTTAAAATATGCGAACCAGTGTCTAACCCACTTGGTCACCGTGGGTCCCCACAGATGAGATAGTCATATCTACATGTATCTGGACATAAGTAAGATTCTGTCTGTGCACATACATGTACGTTCACAGTTTTACTATACTAAACTGAATTTTAAATTTCAAAATATTAAAATGAAATCGAGGTTTATGTCACATCAGCTCCACCCGGGCTATTTTGTGCCAAACACATTATGGTGAGATTCTAAAATACCACAACAACAATCTTTTCTATTAGAATTGAACACTCACCCTCAAAAAACACCTATGAGAAATCATAGTTGCTCAAATCACCATTTCTTCAGCTCTTTCTTTTCCCATATTTGGGTTTTTTGACTTATTTATTATATGATCTTTGATTTGCTATGGCATCTAATATGGAAACTGAAAAATATGAATATGTGACATGTAATTAACTGTTTAAGATACCTTACCATATACAAACTGTGTGATATCTAAAACCATTTGAATCCCGAAGATCTTACCTAAGCCGTGAAAATCTGTTTTAATAACCCTTGTTTGTCATGTGACTGGACTGTCACAGTAATTAGAAGAGAGCCATGTGGCTTAGTGTTTAAGGCACTGGCTTGCTACCCGGGAGGTTGCGGGTTCGCTCCCAGTGTTGACCGAGGAAGCTCATTTGGATTTTTCAGCATGGTTTCCCTGTCTAGTCGTCATGGTGGCTCAGTGGGTAAGACGCTGGCTCGCTAGCCTGGAGGTCGGGTGTTCGATCCCTGCATTGGCCGAGAAAGTTCACCCAGATTTTCCGGCGTGGTTTCCTCTTGTTAGTGATTCAGGACGGAGGGCCTGACAAGGACAGCTGTCTAGTCATTCAGATTGAACAAAAAAACGTGGTCCCGTGTACACATTGGCGTGCATGTAAAAGATCCCCTGGCAGTTAGAATTTGATACAAGAGAAGGCCTTCGGGTCACAGTACCCGGCAAAATTTCTCTCGTAGCACACTGTATGGCATATGCTCAACTTCATTAGCCCAGTCCTCCGTACTGCATTGTCTTACTGCAAACCCGCGACCTTAAAATATGCGAGCCAGTGTCTAACCCACTTGGCCACCGTGGTCCCCCACAGATGAGACAGTCATATCTACTAGTGTTGAAAATCGGATCGAGATTTGTGATCCGAATACTTTTGTCTGCTATCCGAATACTATTCGTCAGATAATTCGGAAACATGAAATTCTTGTACAAAATCACATCAAAAGTTCATATACTCATAATTTCTTACTTATTTCAATGTTTATGAGTTTCTGCGTATGCCGAGTATGAAATCTTACTTTCGATTTGCAAATTGTTTGAGCCGCGAAGAAAAAAACGTGCCTACCTTTAGCCGCAATTATTAAGACTATTCATGATATCCAAAAAAATCAACGAGGTGAATAAATTTGTGTATAACTACTCCTGTAATCCGCGGCCCTCCCACTTATCATTTTTGCTCAATCAACACGAATGAAGAAAGTAAAATAAAATCATCTAACATTTATTCCGCCATGGTCGTTTGCCTCATTCTTATAATCTACTGCTAATGAACCAATCAGTAAGTGAGAATATACGTGACCTAGGTCGGTCGTTATAAATAAATAACAGTGCGGGAAGTCTAAACAGTGTTAACTTGTATCCCGTAAACCCAAGAAGTAGCTTCTATCTAGCGTAAACCAGCGCGAGGAATGAATGAATATTTTTTTTTATTTAGACTACTGTTTTCGTTGCACTGCATTAATATTTTTATTAGTTACTATCGCTAAATAATACGCGTGATATTAACATTTATGCTCAAAGCTGCGTACATGATCAATAGCATTAGGGAAAATTTCAAAGTAATCAGATGTAAAAATGGCTAAATATAGAGCATAGGGAATGTCAGAATATATTGTAACGAATAGTAAACGGATAGTAAAATGATTCGGATAACCCTTACTTTGTATCCGTTAACGGATATCTGAATAGTAGTTTCAACACTAATATCTACATGTATCTGGACATAAGTAAGATTCTGTTTGTGCACATACATGTATGTGTACAAATTTACTATACTAAACTGAATTTTAAATTTCAAAACAATAAAATGAAATGGAGGTTTATGTCACATCAGCTCCAACCGGGCTATATTGTGCCAAACACATTATGGTGAGATTCTAAAATACCATAACAACAATCTTTTCTATTAGAATTGAACACTCACCCTCCAAAAACACCTATGAGAAAGCATAGGTGCTCAAATCACCATTTCTTCAGCTCTTTCTTTTTCCATATTTGGGTTTTTTGACTTATTTTATTATATGATCTTTGATTTGCTATGGCATCTAATATGGAAACTGAAAAATATGAATATGTGACATGTAATAAACTGTTTAAGATACCTTACCATATACAAACTGTGTGATATCTAAAACCATTTGAATCCCAAAGATCTTACCTAAGCCGTGAAAATCTGTTTTAATAACCCTTGTTTGTCATGTGACTGGACTGTCACAGTAATTAGAAGAGAGCCATGTGGCTTAGTGTGTAAGGCAGTGGCTTGGTACCCGGGAGTTTGCAGGTTCGCTCCCAGTGTTGACCGAGAAAGCTCATTTGGATTTTTCAGCATGGATTCCCTGCCTAGTCGTCATGGTGGCTAAGTGGGTAAGACGCTGGCTCGCTAGCCTGGAGGTCGGGTGTTCGATCCCTGTATTGGCCGAGAAAGTTCACCCAGATTTTCCGGCATGGTTCCCCCTTGTTAGTGATGCAGGACGGAGGGCCTGACAAGGACAGCTGTCTAGTCATTCGGATGATACGAAAAAACGAGGTCCCGTGTACACATTGGCGTGCGCGTAAAAGATCCCTTGACAGTTGGAATTCGATACACCGCAGTGCCGCTGTCCGGGCAAAATTTCCCTCGTAGCACACTGTGTGGTGTATGCCTGTCTTCATTAGCCCAGTTCGGAGCAAAACAGTAGGACGTTAAACCCCATTTCATTTCATTTCTAGTCGTTTCAATGGAACACAAAACCTGAGGTCCCATTGGCGTGCATTTAAGCCGATAGTATGGTAGTTGGAATTTGTTGGCTGTAGCACCCGTGTCACAGTTCGAATGCTAGTTTGTGATACCCACTCGATATGAATGAGTGGTGATTGGCTAATGAATTCTAAAATCAGACGAATGCTTCGGCGAAGCGGACACACCAATCAAATACAATTCGGCCAAATATATCAAACATGTTTGATTCGGGCGTATGTCAGTGGATAAACTAGGTGAAGTTTAGCGCCAATTGATTCAGCCGAATCCTTTGGCTAGTTTATCCAGCACTGACAATTTAAGTTTGTACTTTCTTCATATGCAAATATCACATTTGAAAGAGGCTGTAGGCCTACTTTCTTTATATGCAAATATCTTATTTGAAATAGGCCATTATTATGTGATTCCCCACTTGAATGTGACTAGGAATAGGGTCGCCTGTCCAGCCTTGTGGGTTTTCTCTGGGTCCTCCCTTGCTAAATACCCCTAGGGTGTATTCGAAACAGTGTTCCGGTGCAGAGAACGGACGGAGAATGGGTTCTTGTCGGAGTTGAGCAGTCTGGAATGCGTTCACGAACACGTTCCCGTTCTCAAATTCCACACTACCTCATAGCTGGTGTGAGGGAGAACAAACATGCTTGACGCATCGATAACTGCTGAGAAAACAGCATCATGGGTGCATTTATTAATTTAAAGGAGCTAAATCGCTAACATTTGGGACCTAGAAATTCACAAAAGTGGGTCGCAACGCATATAATACTGTAATATGAATGAATATAAACTGATTTACATTTAATGGTTTCCGTTTTTACTCCAATTTCAAATTAGTTATGTTCGGGGAAATAAGTCAGCAATCTCAATCGAGTGCAAATTTCTAGCGTCTCGTTATTCTAGTCTACATAACTCCATTTGATTTGGTGCAATGTGGTTAGCCTCGTCCCTCGAGTCTCTCAATACAACTGGGGTTGAAGCGTATTATGGTACACGATTCGTGTACCAATGTTAAAAAAATTATTTTATCTTAAATATCGGATATCAGAAGCTCATCTTTTCTCGGTATGTTTACATCATCAATGTTGATTTAAATTGACCAATAATTCGTGTTTTCGATGTCGAAGATTTTGGAGGATTTTGAGTTACGGACTTTGGTCCTTTAAAAGTTTAATACCGTTCAAAAATTGGATGTAGTATGTGGCCAGTATAACATCAAGTAAGTTAGGTTGCCAGGCAACGAAACATATGCCCACAGCAGTTTAATCGTTTGCGCAGTCAACAGGGATTGTCGCATATTCATTCTTTTGTAGGTAATGTGGGCATTTACAGGAAAATTTCATACAAGATTATAATTTTCGTCGTTTGTGGGTTTACAAAGGTCGACGCATCGATAACTGCTGAGAAAACAGCATCATGGGTGCATTTATTAATTTAAAAGTTTAATACCGTTCGAAAATTGGATGTAGTATGTGGCCAGTATAACATCAAGTAAGTTAGGTTGCCAGGCAACGAAACATATGCCCACAGCAGTTTAATCGTTTGCGCAGTCAACAGGGATTGTCGCATATTCATTCTTTTGTAGGTAATGTGGGCATTTATAAGAAAATTTCATACAAGATTATAATTTTCGTCGTTTGTGGGTTTACAAAGGTTCTACAAACTGAAACAAAGGCCTTAATTGTTGAAATTTGACAGATTTTTTTGTTTTGTGTTTTACTAATTTAAATAATGCATACAAATTTCATACAAATCTGATGATAATTTTGTTGTTTGCGTGTTCACAAGGTTCGAAAAAGTGAAACAAGGGCCACAACTCTAGACATAATTCACGGAAATCGCAGAAATTTAATAGACGTCTTCGTTTTACTAATTTAAAAGGTGCAAATGAATTTAAAAGTTTAACAAGGTCCATAACTCCAGAAGAAACTAACGGAAATTATTGAAATTAAATAGGATTCATCTCATTAAAATAAACAACATATCAATTTCAAAATAATCAGGTCTGTAGACGACGGACAAACCTACGGACGAGGGCGATGACAATATGCGACCACATTTCCATGTGGGTGTATCAAAAGGTGATGTAATCGTCATCCAAAGAATTGAAAAGGAGTAAAACGGAGTCATAATTTATCAAAATTATGCTTAATAGCGAAGTCAATATCAAGCAAGTTATCGTAACAGATTGTATAAATTTAATTCATCTTGTTACCATGGATACCGTTCTCTCATGTTCGAGACTCATGAAAGTGTTTTCACGTTCTTCAGCCGTTCTCGAACCTGCGCGAACACTGTTTCTAATACACTCCTACGGTACGCGCAAGCAAATCATTCAAATAAAATTGAACAATATTAGCCTCGAAATTACCTAGCGCCAGTAAGTATAAAGGATCTATCCGACAAACACTAACAACAACTCTAGGTTTATGCAGAATTAATATAACACAACATACACAGATGGCAATAGAATGAGACAGTGTTCAGGAAAAGGGCGTAAACGGAAGAAGACTACCTGTCCTACTTGATTCTAGGACATATAGCATGGACCTACTTGATTCAACCAATTTAATACAAGGAAATGAATGGCATAGTTTGTGTCAAGTGAATTTAGTGAACTTTAAACCCCATTTACCCGCCCTCTCTCTACAGAGATTTATACAATAACAATTATTGGCCATTATTAAAAAAATATATTAAAAGGAAATGAAATTCTGTTACCTGTTTTTCTTTGTGTAGTACATGCTAACATCAATGACTGGAAAAAAAATAACGAAACTGTAGAGAAACTTCTGAATCATTGAAAGTCTAATATTAGGCCTACACATTGAATCGATTGATGACATTGATATAAAAAAAAGGCTGATTTGTTTGTTGTTGTTTTTTTTTTTTTACAGAAATAAGATTACATTTCAACTAAACAACTAACACAAAAGTTAGTATCTAGCTATAGTCCATGTCTGGATAAACATTTCTTCTTTTGCCCGAACGTCTATAAAAATCAAAGATGGCGGCCAATAATTGCAACCGGTTATTACTATAAAATCAAGACAGATTCTTACCTGCTGGTCCTAGTCGGGGGTTTCTTGTATTATAAGTATTTGAACAACGGTGTAGCGCCGATTAGCTAATAATAATTAAGCACGATTTCAGAAAAATTAAGACAGATTCATTAGATTGCTGAATTAGCGGAACACTTTTAGAACACATCAAAAAAAAATTCTTTGTGGCGCCATTATATAAATAGACTTCCGGTGCAGTCAGTGGCAGTGGTTCTAAATCTGACTGTTTTAAACGAAACGAATTATTATATACATAGAAGCAATATATACATGCTAAATTAAATACACGGTTTTATTTTTTGTAAAAATTTACAAACCTGCGGTCTGGTATTCTATGTGACCATTATAATTTTTTTAAAAATATCACGGCTAAAGCACTCTGTTGATGCTAACTCCACTACATCTAACTGAATGTCGCTGATATAATATCAAAGAAAGAATTTGTCGCAATGACTAAAGTATAGATACTTCTTCTTAGTTAGTTGTATTTTACGTCCGCTTCCACCGAAGTGATATCGCTGACAAAAAGTATAAATAACTTGGAGAACCATTATATCAATAAGTCGATTATGAGACACACGTGGATGATCAATTAAATTTGATTGGTTACTTTTCAGTTAACCAATACTGTCCAATTTCGATTACATCAACCAATTACATTATTAAGAGTTTTACTCATTTTTTTTGTTCATTGCACATTGAATCAATTTTCGAAAACACCAGGGTGCTGAAAATCACATGTACACTATATATTCATTTGATCTATCAGTTTATTGGGTCAATAAAAAAAGACAGACATTTTAACTATACAAACAACTTAACACCAATTAACATTCAAGTCTGTCTGGCAATTGTCTGATTAATTGGTACTCACTCCCTTCCAGTGAAGAACAGCATGTGATTTTCGAGATGTGAATTAAGCCCTTTATTACTTTTCTTAAAACTTGACGACTCCCGAATTCAGACTTTGTATGGAGGTTTTTTTTTAAAAAAGAAAACAAATCGTGGAAGGTACACATTACTTTTGTTAATGATATGAAAAAACACACAAGATTTTATAAATCGACACAAGTTTGTGTTAATGCAATGCAAAACAACACATAACTTGTGTAGATTAGTTTTAACACAAGTACTAGTGTTGAGATTCAACACAAGTGTTTTTTCAAATACGTAAACAAACCATTGTCAGTTGAAATTCTCCAGACTATACAGACACGCGATATCGGCCCTTATTCACGAAAACTTAAACTAAGATACAATCGAAATTTTAAGAAATACTGCAATTCGATTGGCTGACCAGTAAAATCAATTTGCATATATCCAATGAAGTTGCAGTATTTCTTAAAATTTCGGTTGTAACTTAGTTTAAGTTTTCGCGAATAAGGGCCCTGGATTGTAGCCTAATCGTCGGCTTCAGTATTCCGGTTGGTATAAATAGTCGTATGGGGGGCGGGGGAATCAATCAATCCGTAAATTTTCTTTGTTACCCGAATTTTCAGAATGTATCAATCATTAACTAAAACGAGTTCTCCACAAATGTTATTGTACGGGGTCTTAAGTATTACGGGGGGGTTGGATGGCTGAATGGTTAGCGTGTGCACGCTGTATCATAGAGTCTGTCATTGAGTTTACTGGTGTGGTTTCGAATCCCCGGTTGTACGTGACAAGGAGTAGGGTCGCATGTCCATCCTCGTGGGTTTTCTCCGGGTCCTCCGGTTTCCTCCCACTGCTAAAGACCCCTACGCGCAAGCGAATTATTGAAATAAAATTAAACCATATGTTAGTCCCGAAATGACCTAGTTTGTGTCGAGTGGACGTTAAACTCCATTTCTCTCTCTCCCTCTCTTAAGTATTACAGTATTCAAAACGTAAACCGCGAGCGATTTCATTTTACAATTATACAATTATATTTCTGTGATATATGGTCTCAACCTCTGATGTTTATGCCGGAAAAACAGAAATACATTGACCGAAAATTGGACGGCTCCCTCCGCCCCCCCCCCCGGCTCCTGTTTATTATCCCGGTTGGTACAAAACATTAGAAGGATAGATCGTAAATTGACAGTTAAAAAGATCATATCAGCGATGGCTCGGCAAATTTGTCTCAAATTTTTCACACAATCTGATTTAACGGTGTAGAATGTAGAAAAATCAATGGAACTTAAAAATAAAATTATTTTACTATCTACAGGCCGGGTCTCTGATATATATTTAAAATTACAAGTTTTTAAAAATAAATTACATGCTGATAAAATATCTGTTTTTTGTCCGTTCTTTGAACATATTTCAGATTCTATTTATTCAAGACACTCGCCACAGTTACTTCTACTGGGGACAAACTAATCCGCCATGAAATTTCGCTCTTATATCATTATGGAACATGATATAAAACACAAATTTATATGGAAAACAATCACTGGGTTTATTTCACACTAAGTTTCATTATACTGTCATTACTTACTTGAGAACGACAAGAGGAACGTTTTGTGAAATAAACCCAGAGATTGTTTTCCATATAAATTTGTGTTTTTATATTATATGTTCAATTACTAAATGCCGTATAAGGATTTCATCATTATGGAACAGTTTTCATCCTCGACGGATCTATAGTTTTGAAATAAACGAAATGGTGGACATTGTACTCGTTTTGTGGGGTTTCGCCGGCTTTGGTGTTAGCACCATACAGGATCTGACCCATACTAAACTAATGCTGTTTGTCTACAATTAGCTCCGTTTAATTAAAGGCTCAATACCACTCTTGTTGTAACTGAATAATATGTCCCAATCTTTATTCTGGTCAACAAATTGTACTATTTTACAATATTCCAAGTAATTGATGATACCAATTTCATCTTAACACGCCTAATTTAAAAAATTGGAAAAATTCAACTAAATGATTTGAAAAGCCTGACGTATAAAGCTTTTCAAATGTGACTTGGATTTAAAAATATTTTTGAACCCTTTGGACAAGTAAAATAGAATTTAATGGATAATTTACACAACAGGTAGGACACTAACACATCCAGTACTTAGAATAAGGCTATATTTTATTTTCTGGAGCTGTCAAGCCAGCAAGAGTGTTATTGTCCCTTTAAGAACAGACACTAAACTGGCATTTTCAGCAAATTGCCTTTACATTATCTAGTTTTTCACTATTATAGTGAGAACTGCCAACTCGTTATCGAATCTCTCATAATGTACATGTATCTTTAAAAAAAATAATTTCCTAGTGATAATTTAGTTTTCTTATGTGCGATTGACAGATGTGAAACGGAGTAGAGCCGCATTACAAAATAGCACACTAATTGTTGGATATGGCGGTCATTTAGGGCAGAAGTAGAATATAGTTCCCTCCTGTGGTGTTAGTACCATACAGGGTCCAACCACCAATCGCGGTCTCTTCTGATCATTTCTTCTTGTAGACAGTTCGTTGTCAACGGAATCAACCACGCGTGACCGGAATCAGGCGTGCATGACCGCAATTTAACGAAGCTTTCTGGAAACCATGGGCTTGTTCTATTTTTGAAATGAAATGAAATGGGGCTTAACGTCCTACTGTTCTGCCCCTACTGGGCTAATGAAGACGGGCATACGCCCTACACTGTGCTATGAGGTAAATTATTTCGAATTCCAACTGTCAAGAGTGGGGGGGGGGGAGACATGTTTTGTTTGATGGGGTAGGGTGGGGTGGGCAGGGGTCTTTCTTTATATTTGGTTGGTGGGTTCAGGGTGGGTGTGGATGATCGCTGAACGACAGTCTAATTATAAAAACATCGATGATTGGCTAAGATTTACGCGAATAATGACGTGACATTTATATCAATGTCGACACGTTACTTGATGACATCATTATCTCATAAACCTTGCACTATACCATCAGATTAAATTAATCCCATTGGCTAATCTATTTTAATTCCACCAATCAACTTGTCATCAGAAGTGAGACGACTCTGGTGCCGTATTATCGTAAAGGCCGAATCTTCGACCAATGAATAAGTCCCGACAAACAAACTATCACTTTTATTTCAGATGGACGGAAAATGTAGGTTCATACGACATCTATCTTAATACACATCGGTGACTGAATTTGATTTCGGGGGATTAGATGGCTGAATGGTTAGCACGTGCATTGTATCATAAATAAGGTCTATCATTGAATCAACTGGCGTGGTTTCGATTCCTCGGTTGTACGTGACAAGGAGTAGGGTTGTCTGTGGGTCCTCCGGTTTCCTCCCACTGCTGAAGACCCCTGCGCAAGTGAATTATTGAAATAAAATTGAACCATATGTTAGTCCCGAAATGACCCAGTTTGTGTCGCATGGACATTACCCCCCCCCCCCTCTCTCTCTGAATTTCAGCTACTAATAACCAGTAAACCACTCCCTGGGTTAAATTTACAATTCATCTCTCTCTCTCTCTCTCTCGCTCTCTCCAAATTACATTCTTTTAGTTTAAAGGAGCTAAATCGCTAACATTTGGGACCTAGAAATTCACAAAAGTGGGTCGCAACGCATATAATACTGTAATATGAATGTATATAAACTGATTTACATTTAATGGTTTCCGTTTTTACTCCAGCGTCTAGTTATTCTAGTCTACATAACTCCATTTGATTTGGTGCAATGTGTCTAGCCTCGTCCCTCGAGTCTCTCAATACAACTGGGGCTGAAGCGCATTATGGTACACGATTCGTGTACCAATGTTAAAAAAATCATTTTTACTTAAATATCGGATATCAGAAGCTCATCTTT